AACTAGTGTTTTGAATATGTTGAGAGTATTAGTTATTTTGCATTCAAGTCTAAGATTAGCTTTAGTTAGATTCTATTGATTTGCACATATTTTGGAATAATTATGTGTTGTGATGTGTGAATATTTTAACTAAAAATAAAACCATGGATTTCAGACCCTTTCCCACTCACCATTTTTTTTTTTTTTTACAAAAAAATTTCTCCTCTCTTGCTGCCTACTGCTGACTTAAAAACTAGCTAAGGATTTCCTCTCTTTGATCTAAACCTTTTCTCTTTCTAGATATATTTATAAAGTTATCTGAGAATTAGTTTAGCATAATAGCTGGAGATGATCAGTCTTTGATATAGGTAGTATTGATATGAAAAAAAATCCTCAATAGTCTCTTTATGCATTATATATGGGTATATACTATACCCATATATACTATAAATTAGAGGCCCAGTGCACAAAATTTATGCATGACGGAAGGGTTCCCTCAGTCCAGCCTGCACCCTCTCCAATCTGGGACCCCCCCTGGGGGATGTCTGACTGCCTCTTGCAATCTGGGACCCCTGGCTCCTGTTTGCCTGATTGCTCCTAACTGCTCCCCTACCAGCATGATCGCCCCTAACTGCTACCTTGCTAGCCTGATTGCCCCTAACCACCTCTACCTTGCCCTACATCCAGGACCCAGGATTCCCTTCTCTGGCTGGTCACAGGCACCCTGGACCAGGGCTGGCTTTGTCTGGGCCCTCAGCAGGTACCCAGGACTGTGGGGTGGGAGGCTTGTTCCTCTCCTGGATCCAGGTGCAGGCACAACCACTGGTGCCCAGGACCATGGGGCGGATGGCTTGTTCCTCTACCCAGCTGCAGCCTGGCTGGTCTCCATTCCTCCTCTCTCCCCAATGTTGAATGTCTGAGCCATTAGGGTGTCATGGCATGAGAGCGTGATGACCATTTGCATATTAGCTCTTTATTATATAGGATAATTATTTATTATATATTCTTTCTTAATTTCTTAGTTTCTCTCCTTGAATATCAAGAAAGACTATAATGCTAAGTTTATATTATTTTTTGTCTCCTGATATTATTGTTTTTCTTTTGAATGGACTAGGGGACATATTAATAACATGGCAAATTTATCAGTAAGAGCTTGAATTCAATTTGGATTGAGGAACAAAGATGAAAATTGTTTAAATCAAATATTTAACCCCTCTACATTTGGGAAAATCTCCTTCCCAGGATATGGAGAAACCTTATTCTTAGCTCATGGCTCTTTTTACAACAAAGACTCATCTCTCATTGTTGTAAATCATCACATGGGATAATTCTACTTAAAAAAATCTCTATTGTAGCATGATCATTTCAATAACATTTCAGAGTAAAGCATTTTTTACCATATATATATATATATATATATATATATATATATATGGCATTTTCATTCTATTCATTTTGTTTTGCTTCAACTTATCTTGATCTCCACATACTATTTTATTTTCCTTTCAATATCTGACCAAAGCAAAGCAAAAATTAGTATAATCATATTTTGTAGCTCCTCTCTCCTACCTGTATTGGCAGCTTTGACAGCCAATGGTGAAAATTCAAAGTCAAACTATTTAACTCTTAAGTAGCTGAAAACAAATTTTCACAGAGGAGGTAATTTTGTCATATGAACAAAAGACACAGTTGTCCACTGACACAAATATGCGATTGTGATAGCTATTTATATATCAGATATACGTAATCAGGATTAAAACATCATAAAATATCTACATCTTTACATACACTGATGCATAGATTTCAGAGGCATGTGGGTAGGGGGGAGGGGCGGGGACAATACAAAATGAGAAAGTTAAATGCTAACTGCAGCCCTTTTGGTTGGATGAGTGCCAAAGCAACTTTCAAAATATTTCAAAACAGCTGCCAGCATGTAAAGATTTTAACTGAAGGAGCAGAATAATGAAATCTGAATCACTAACGAGCAACTAAACTTATATTTTGCTTAAGGTCTATAATGACGTGGAGATAAGCAGATCTAATAAGGAATTTGTCTCATACATGCAGACCAAAATTCCAAAACTATTCATGCAAGGACAAAATTCTGAAACATACTTATGTGCAGTCTGAGGTCACTTACTGTGCCTGTCTTCTCTGAGTATTCTGTGTATTTTAGTTACAGAAAAGAAAGTTTCTGGAGGGCAGGAGACATAGTAATTCTCAAATATGGGTCATTGAAAGCTTGGAACATTGAAGTTGAATGTGCTCATTAAACTCTAATTTAATGTTGTATTGTATACGTGATGTAGCTTCAGCATATCTACGTCTAAATGGCTAGCAACAGATCTTACTATTTTTTCGACTGGGACAATTCTGCCCTTTGGGCTTCCAAAAAAATATTGCCCCCCAAAAGGGAAGGGAAGCATAACCACATAGTATTTCTATATCAACTATTCATTAAAATAAGTACTTAATAAAATATAATCATTTTTATCCATAGAATCTGTATTGAAACAATGAATAAATAATGGTGATATTATCCATAAATGTATATCATTGTTGATGGTGCAGAAGGCCTTTACTAGGGAAAGTAACTTTAAAAAAAATTCTGCTCTTTTGGCCCAAGAGGGTTTCCCACCCTTCGGAGTCAGTTGGCACATTGGCGCTGCCTCAGGATCAACAGGAAGGAGCTTGGACTGTGTAGTGCCCTGGAGTCCAAGGGCCCTGGGAAGCAGGAGCCACTTGCTAGAAGCCTCCATCCTCTGGTTGGCCAAGATACCAGCTGGCAGGCACAGGAGCACTCCACAGTGGGCCAATCAATAGTTCTGACAAGTGCTATTTTTTTTTTTTTTTTTTTTTTTTTGGAAAGCCACTGCCTGCATCTGTGTTCATCTTTAGTCTGTGTACCAGGCTTCCTTTGGCCCTCAGTACTGCCATCCTTGACCTGTGCAGTCAGAGGAGAACTTTTCCCAGCCCCTAAAATAGTCCTGATCTCTCTAGAATTGGCATGCATTTTCAAAGGGAAAGCCTTCGCAGAGCCCAGGGATGTGTGAGATCGCCTCTTCCAGCCCGGCCCTGTGGGTGAGCTGGGAGGAGGGGAAGAGTGCAGAGAGGCCAGTGAACCTGCATCGCCTGGCGGTTGTCCTCCCAGTGGGAAGAGGACCCACATCTGTGACCGGATCCTTACAGGGTGGCTTTCCCCCTCCCCAGGCCCTCCAACCCTTTCACCCCCTCCCTCACTCACAGGCCTTGTGTTTGGCCAATGAAATGCCTCAAGTTAGAAAATAACTCCATCATCCCTGGAAGAAAGGAGTCAGGACCTCGGCGGGATCTAACCAGTGGCATTCCTCAGCATACTCCACAGATGCTCATTACGATTCTTTTTACGTGCAACATGTGGGGGACGAAGTCGTTTCTTATCTCCTGATATTATCTGCCGTCCAAAGCATTTTCATTGAGAGGAAAATGGAAACGCAGCTGCGCCTTGGGCCCCGCCAGCCAGAGCTGGGGCTCCCTCCCTCTGTCTCCCGCCTGGGCTGCTGCTGCTGCTGCTGGGCCGGAGGCTCCTTCAGAAATTGAACCCCGTCCGGGGAGCTGAACCCCAGTCCAGGGAGCGCAGAGGTGGCCGCGGCCCGCGCCACAGACGGGCCTTTGTGCGGCCAGAGCCATGAGGACGACAGGGGACTCGCGGGTCTGTGGCCGGTGCGGGCGTCCGGCCCCCGGACCCTGTGCGGGGCTGCGGGCTGGCTGGTCTCTGCCGCTCTGGGCCTTGGCAACTTCTGGCCAGCAGGACCTGCCCGCAGCCGCCCTGGGTCCAGGGGGTGAGCAGGTGCCTCGACCACCGGCCAGGCGCTTTGGGCGGGGGACGGGGGCTGCAGGACCGCAGCCACCACGCTCCCCCAGCCAGCCCAACGGGGGTCCGCGTGGCGGGCGCAGCGGCCGCCCCTTGTCCCCCGGCTGCCGGTGCAGCGCCAAGGAGGGCGGGAGCCAAGGGGTGAACGAGATGGGGAGCCCGCCAGCAACGCCAGCAAAGTGGGTCCGGGGTGCAGGAGCCCTAGAGGAGCGGAGCCCAAGCCCGCTGGGCGCTGAGGCTGCACTCCGTGCTGCTACCTCCGGGCCTGGCCCAGGATGGAAGAAGGAAGTGGGAAGACATGGGGTCCTGGTCATGGGGTGGAGGACCCATTCCCACCGCCCCCGCCCCGCCAGCTGAGACAAGTGCAAGTTATCGTTTAAAAGGCGCGCCCACACCCAGCATCCCTGCTCCCCCTTAAGGAAACACCGGGGTGCCCGCCGATCCGGGGAACTAACTATCAGGGAGACCCAGGGAAATAAACGCACGTGTTTTCCCTTTTTGTCTCCCTGGTGGTTGGAATTCGCAGAGTTCTCTGCAGTTGTGCCCGCTAAGTTACTGGTTTCATCGCTCGAAAGGGGCTTTAGAGATGGGTCGGGTGTGGGTGTGTGTGTGGGGGGACATCCGATCTCTCCAGCTAGACCTACACTCCCCACCTCGCAAGTCTGTCCAAGACCAAGCCGCCCTCCCACTGGGCGCGAGGAGAGTCCTTTCCTCCAAAGGGAACACACTGTCCATTGCACAAAAGCGGTTTTTTCTCTCTCCTCCTTTGCACGCTCAATAAGCATCAAGTTCCCCAGCAGCCCAACTCCAAGTTGGCAGCCTGAGCGCTGCCTGCTGTGCACAGGACGGGGGCGAGGGGGGTCCCGGCTGGGAGGGGACGCTCTGCAGGGGGCCCCATTCCTGCACACACTCGCTGGAGGAATCCAGGTTGCTGGAAGCCACGGGAGGCTCAAGCCTGCCTGGATGGTGGAAGCTGTTTCTCTGGAGAAAAGAAAGGGGATAGAGAGAGCTTGTCCTGCACTTCGAGTCGGAAGTGCGCGCTGTGTGTGTGTGTGTGTGTGTGTGTGTGTGTGTGCAGGGGCGGGAAAGAAAAGCACCCTCCTTGCTGCCCGTCATCCCTTCGCCCCGGCCAAGTCCTCTCAGAGCCTCCGGTGCATCCTTCCTCCGCCGCCCCCTCCCCTTCTCCTCTCCGCTGGGCTCGCGCGCCGCAGCCGGAGCAGCCAGTGAGAGCAACATCCTGGAAAGAGGGGGGCTGGAGGGGAGCACCACCACCCCCCAAAAGGGGGGGAAAAGGCCCCACCCTGACACGTTTTGCTGTTTGCAAGTCCCTCGCACCCCGCGCCACCCCCGCACCTCCTCCTCCCGCTCCCGGCCCCCCCAGCCCGCCGCGCTCACATCAAAGCTGCTCTCCGCCCGCCGCGCGCAGTGGCCGCGGCTCCCTAATGGGATTGCAGGCTGGTGCCTGGCTCCGCTGCTGCCGCCGCCGCCGCCGCTGCTGCTGCTGCCGCCGCCGCCGGAGCCCCAGCCCGAGCCCCCGCCAGCCCGAGCCCAGAGCCGCCGCGCCCCGGGGCCGGAGCCGCGGCGATGATCCGAATCTTCCCGGATTTCAGCGTGCAGGTGACGGCCGCGGCGGCTGGCGGGGCGGCCGCGGGGGTGCCGGCCGGCGCCGGCGGCATGGGGAGGGCCAGCGCCGCGGCCAACGGCGCCCCGCAGAACGTCCAGGGCATCACCTCCTACCAGCAGCGGTGAGTAGTCCCGCCCGGGCTGGGAGCGTGCCCCCGCCCCGGGGTGCTGGGGTGGGACTCACTTTGCCTCCTGTTTTATGTTGTTCCAACACACACATGCACATCGCTGGAGCTCACTTTGGCTTGCCCCTCGTTCTACGGATGAGAAAGAAGAAGGAAAGAAAAATAATAAGAATGCACAATTCGGATCGAAAGGCACTCCGAGGCGCTCGCTGACAGAGTGAAATCAGCTTTTGCCCTCTGCCTGGCCCTAAACCCAGAGCCCCGGTCGGCCCCGCTAGCCGAAGAGTTGCAGAGAAGTCTGAGACGCCGCACAAGGTGCTTCAGCAAAGTTTGGGTCCCAGCCCCTTTCGGCGGCTTCTCTCAATGCCTCTGCCGGGTGCCCGCTCTTGCTGATGCGCAAGCCAGGGCGGCAATTGATCACTGGGGGCTGATTGATCATTTGTTTCCAAACAGAATTGGAACGATTTTCACGTGTAGCTGTAGACTTGCAGTTCTACATAATAGTGTTATCCTGTCACCTGTTACTATAGGGAAATATAGCATGAAATCCGAGTCTCCTTGGCGCTGCTGCTAAGTATTCATCTTAAACGCATTATAATGCAAATGCCTAGGATTCTGAGATGTGAGCGAGCAAGCACATTTTACAAAGTTAGTCTAAATGGTGAGACAGGAGCAAGTTTTAAAGTATGACTTGTTTGCATTTCTCCCAAATATGTATACATTTAAACAAAAAAAGGACAGTGACGTTGAAATAGTAAACGTTCTTTGAATCAGTTAGGAAAGAAAAGGGTGGGGGGGGGGGATTACCACCACCAATGCCCCACAACCCTAAAGTTTTTCCTTAAGGACAACTTGTGATGTCTATCCCAAGATTTTATGGAAAATGTAATCCACAAAAATGCGCTGAGGGAAACTAACAATGTAGTATGAAAGGTAAGCCCCCCTCCCTCCCATTTGTGGGGCTCAGTTTTTTTAGATGGAGAAAAAAAAGAACACATGAAAATGTGAAATTAAATATTTGTGTTTCCCAGATTGCACACGATTAAACATCTGAGAGGTTTGCCAATGGCATTTAACTTAAAATATACACAATGCATAATTCAAACAACAGTTCCCATTTTTACCTTGTGTTTCAAACTTCATTGATTTGAGAACCTTTGATTTGAACCAACAGTGTTTAAACTGAAAAGGTTAAGATAATCTATCACTGCCATATTTTGTGCCTTCTAACCAATGGCTCAGCGACCAGAGCAGATTTTGCATAACACACTGAGTGTTTTCTAAGTTGATGCCCAGTGCTGCAAACATTCTGTGGAAGACTTCATTATATGCTTTGAGTAGGGTTGGAAGTTTGCAAAAAAAAAAAAAAAAAAAAAAAAAAGTCTTGAAAATAACTCAAGAAGAGGCTGTTCCTTGTCACAGAGAATTTATTTGTTGTTGTTGTTATTGTTTAAGTTATTCCAGTCTTGTTTTACTTCAGTGATTACAAGAACCTTTAATACAAAAGATCTGGGAATCTTTCAAACATAAAGGACTTAGAAAAGAATTAGGTTTAGAAAGAATGAGATTTTTTTTCATGGTTCAGGTATGGTTTTTTTTTTGTCACTTATAAAACATTTAAATGACAATAGACCCAGGCGGTCACTTTAACCAGGAAGTGGAAGCAATAGTCACAATAGTATGGTCTGTGGAGTAGGGATCAAGGGTCAGAGATGTCAGAGAGCTTTTGGACCTTTTCAGGGAATTCCGGGCAACTTCAGCCAGCCCATAAAATATAAGCTGGGCATAGAGGGAGGTCATGGATTCAGCCGGTACGTTTGTCCTCAGAGTGGTGGTATCTTTCACCAAGAAGACATTCCCACGTTCAATTTTCCTGTAAATCAGGGGCATCCAGAGGTAACTCACCACAGTCCCCCACTCCAACGCTGAAAGCTCAATGATGCCTTCCACAGTCATCTCTGAAATCGGGCCACTTCATCAAGTCACATAATCCCACCACTTGTTCTAAAAACTAAAGCTCTGAAAAAGATCCGCTCTAAAATTTAGCCCTTGGGGTGTATTCTTCCCTTCCTCTCTTTTTATGCCCTGTCCTATTGGCAGACCAGAAGGTGTTAGCTGTGAAAAATATAGCCTTCTTTGGTTTCTTTTCTCCAGTGTGATGACACCTGTTACTCCTTTGGGTTTCAGTTAATTTGGAGACGGGAGAGTGAGTCATGTGGGGCAGGATTACTGGCAGGTGTTTAAGGAGGGTCTGAGTCAAGAGTTAAATCCCCTGCCCTCTGGCACTTCATCAGGAATGCAGGCCATGACACCTTAGGCTTTGGGGGTTAGGAGGGGCAGATTTAGTTTCCACCTCAAGACCTGGCTATGATCTCTAAAGAAAAAAAAAAAAAAAGGCTTTTCATTAAAATCTTTTGGGAGTCTGATGAGGGAGTGACTTGGGCGGTGGTGATGTGGGTGTGGAGGGGTTCATGCAAAGAGTAGCCTGTTGAGAGAACACAGGCTTTTCTCATTTGTCATCTCTGGGCAGAAACATCCTAGGCTGGCTGCCCTGGAGTTGTCCAGCTGGCAACTTTCCTTCCTCTCTCCCAGCCCATACATCTTGGACTCAACCTTCTTAAGTTCACTTTTCAATCACTCTCATCTTCTACCTGTCGAGCGTAATCCAAAGAGAATTCAAACACCATCCTGCAGATTAAACACCTCTGCTATGAAAAACACATGTTTCCAGTTCCCAGCTCTGAGCCTCACTTTACTGGAGTAGAAGGGTAGGGCTGGATGGGACCCCTCTGCAGGGCGGCTTTTTTCTTACAGTGCAAAGCTTCCCGCAGGACTGTTTTCCTCCTGGCTTTTCCCTTTATTCAAGTGCTTTGGGAGTCCCTTCCACTTTCCCCGCTTGACATACGACTGACTCAAGCCTCTGCCCAAAAAGCTGCCCACACCCAGCAGAGTGCTTGAGTGGAGAGAGCGCTCTGAGCAGCGTCTGCCCAGGTAACAGGATCCCAGCACTGGCCCTGCACCCAGTCCAGAGCTTTCCTTAGGCCTCGCTGGGCTGAAAAACAGGGAAGGCAGCTAGACTAGACAGAACCAGAGGCCCTTAGTTTGGTCCGGTCCTATGCCAGGTACCAGGAGCCCAGCCATGTGCGACGTTTGTGCACAACTGCGTTTAAAGTCCTGGGGAGTCACCTGTGAACCCTGGGGTCTGCAGATGTGTACGTGCGCGAGTAATGCAGCCGCTCGGGGCCCGGGGAACCAGGCTGAGAGCACTGGGATCACCAGGTGCCTGTGTTGCCGGCGGGCCCATGCCGCGGGCTGGGCCAGCGCGCTCCCCAACGGCCGGTTCCCTCTGCCCCCGAGCTGCGTGCGGGACGGTGTCCAGCCCCCGCGGCCTCCGGGCTCCCCCTTGCCTTCCCGCGGGCTGTGATCCTCCGGAGAAGGGAAGTGTTCAAAACTGCAACTGAGTGGCGTTGTTGCGCCAGCAGCCGAGCATCCCAGTCCCCCAAGGAAAGAGAGGGAGAGAAGGAGAGAGGGAGGGGGGAGGGGGAGAGAGAAGGGGTGCAGGGGTGTGTGTGTGCCTGCGAGGGAGCACTTTGGAGCAAAGTAGCTGGAAAATGCCCCGAAATACTTTCGCTGCGGTCAAGCGGGGAAGCCCCCGGGAGTCCTCCTCCTCCCCCCTACCACCCCCCCTTCGCTCCTCCGGGCCTCGGCCCTGCCCGCCCTCCGCGGGGAGGGAGGGTGCGCGCCCACCTGCCGCCCGCGGCTCCGGGGGCGGCGGAGGGGGTGTGGCGGCGCGCGCGGGGGGAACCCGGAGGCGGCGGGGCCCGGTGCCCGGTGCCCGCGGGCCGTGCGGCGGCCTCCCCCCGCCGTCGCCGCCTCCCCCTCCTCCCGCTCCGGTCGCCCGTCTCCGCCGGGCATGTCTCGGGAGCCGGGGCGGCCCGGGCCGCGGGGGCTCTGCGGCGCATGGACGGCGGCGGCGCCCGGCGAGCAGGGGGAGGAGGAGGCGCGGGCGGCGGAGGAGGCGGCGACCTGCAGCGAGAGGCACCGGCGGCGCGAGGGCCCGGCCGGCCGGCGGCGAGGCTCCGGCCCCGCTACTTCTCCGTAGCCTCCCGCCCGCAGCGCGGCCCCGGCCCGGGCCACGGCCACCGCCACGGCCACGCCGCTGCCCGCCGGGCCCGCCGCGCCGCGCACTCACCCCGCCGCCCCCCGCACACGCACACCCCCACCGGGGAGGGGGGAGAGGCAAAAAGTAAGAGAGGAAAAAAAATAGCAGGAAGATGGCGCCCACCAAGCCCAGCTTTCAGCAGGATCCTTCCAGGCGAGAACGGTAACACTTTTCTGTTTATTGAACCTGCCGCCGCCGGGGCCCGGCTCCCCGCCCGCCCGCCCGCCTCCCGGGCCGCTGCCCGCGGCTCCCGGCCGCCGCCTCCCGCTCCCCGCATTGTCCCCCCGCGGCGGCCGCGCCGGGCTGCCGAGCAGCCGCACCAGCTGGGCTCAGCGAATAGAGTGATCGCTGCCAGCGGAGAGAGGAAAAAAAAAGGAAAAAAAAAAAAAAAAAAGAAAAAGAGAAAAAAAGAAAGAAAAGAAAAACAAACACAAAAGAGAAGGGGCTGCCGGAGAGGGGAGCAGAGGGAGGCGGGGGCCGGTATCCCCGGGGCGCCGCGGTCCCCTGGCAGCTGCTCTGCAGGAAGGAATGGGCTGGGGAGGGGAGGACGGCGGCGGGAGGAGGGGGAGGCGGGGAGGAGGGGAGGCGGCCGGGGGCGGGAGCGAGCTCGCGCCGGGCCGGGCTGAGCGGAGCGGCCGTGTCCAAGGCGCCGCTAGGCCGGGCGCGGAGCGGAGCGCAAGGGGCGCGGGGCCGCCGCCGGCTCCCGCCCCAGCTGTGTCCTCAGCCCCGGCAACTGGCAACTTGTGGGTCTCGAGCTTTGCCCTCCGCTCGCCTTTTCCCCCTCCTCTCCATCCCCCAACCTCCGCAGAAAAAGAAAAAAAAATCAGGGAAACCC